GGGGGGGGGGGGGGGGGGGGGGGGGGGGGGGGGGGGAAGTGTGTGTGAGAGTGAGACAGAGAGCAGGTGGTGAGAGGAGAGAGTGAGAGAGATAGAGAAGTCATGAGAAAGTGAGTGTGCGTGGAGTGTCTATTTAGATGAACACGAAACTGATGGGCAAGAAGTGACCTACTGTTAACATCCACATTACCAATTGGGAATGTATTCCAGCGGTGCTTTACTCTCGGGGAAGAATTGCCTGACATTCCACCTCTTTCTACATGGGCGTTGTTTAAATTCAGTCCTCATTCCTTCCCATTTAGTTGATTTGAAATAATGAACCAACTAGTATGCTCTCCAATATCATAGATATTATCTAGTCACCTCTATGTTTCTATTTGTCTGAAGTAAATGGACCAATTCCTTCAAACCAAGTGGCTAAGGATTTTGTCAACTGCATATGATTGTAATGTCTCTGCAGATCTCATCAAGGGTACGATACTACCAACCACATGGGGGACTACAACTGGCACAATATTACACATGTAACATGATCAGTCAAAATGATGCATGTACTCCTTAACCTCTGGCTCCAATATTGCGCCGCTTTGAAAGAAGCACAACTACCTATTCTTACAAAAATAGCTCCAATCATCAACTCTGTAGTTAGTACAACTGCTCACCTGAAAAGAAGTAGAATTGTACTTCATATAGGGTTGAAACTGATGAACACAGGGTCAAAAGGCAGAATTTATGGACGTGCTTCAAGAATGCTGACTTTACAATAAACAGGGCAAAAACACCAGACAGCTGATAATTACTTAGAGATAAACTGCTTCAAAACATTCCCATACACATTTTAATATAGGAATTGGGAGATCATGTTGCAGCTTTACAGGACATTGTATTCCAAAAGTGGCCTAACCAGAGTTCAATTCTGGTCTCGCTGCTATAGGAAAGATGTTATGAAATTTTAAGGGTTTCATAAAAGATTTACAAGGATGCTGCCAGGGTTGGAGGGTTTGAGCTATTGGGAGAGGCTGAATAGACTGGCACTACTTTCCCTGGAGCATTGGAGGCTGAGGGGTGACCTTATAGAGGTTTATAAAATCACGAGGGGCATGGGTAGGGTGAGTAGCCAAGGTCTTTTCCAGAGGGTAGAGGGGTCCAAAACTAGAGGGCATAGGTTTCAGGTGAGGGGAAAGATTTAAAAGGGACCCAAGGGGCAACTTTTTCACGCAGAGCATGCTGCATGTATGGAACGAGCTGCCAGAGGTGGTGATGGAGGAGGCTGGTGCAATTAGAACATTTAAAAGGCATCTGGAAGGGTGTATGAATAGGAAGGGTGCAGAGGAACATGGGTCAAACACTGGCAAATCGGACTGGATTAATTTAAGATATCTGGTCGGCATGGACGAGGAGGACCAAAGGGTCTGTTTCCATGCTGTACATCTCTATGACTACATGACACTAACTTGCATTTGGTGTCGGGGATGCTTTTTAAAGCTGTTCTGACCACCATTGTATTCCATCACTGATGTTATATAATGGCTTCACTGAAGAAATTAGCAATTGTGAAATAACCAAAGTTTATGTTGTGAACACTACCAATTGGTTACCAGATATCAATATAAGCATGTAAACTCGTAGAGGAACTGTACATTGCAAGCTTGTGTTCCATTCCCAGTCAATGTCTATATGGAACCTGTCCTGAGTAAAAAGTGATCTTATACCCCATAAGCACCACAAAGTGATAACTGCCCTCAGCTCAGCTGGGAGGACAAAAAGCAGCTGGAGTACCAGGAGTTAAACTGAGACCCATCTGCAGACTCACCTGAGTGAGTGTGTTAAAACTTATTTTAAAACACATTATTTTGAAGAGGAATAAGAAAAGAAATCAACGGTTATATGGAAAAGGCAAGCAATGGTTATACGGAATAGAGGATTACCAGATTGGCCACGATCTCATTAAATGGCAGAGCAGACTCGACGGGTTGAATGGCTTACTTCTGCTCCTACATTTTATAGAGAAAGGAACTTCTCCCTAGTATTTTGTCCAATATTTATCTCTCTACAAATACAGTCAAAATAGACTATTTGATCAGTTATGTGCACAAACTGGGGGCTGTTATATTTCTCACATTACATCAGTACCTGCATTTCAAAAGTACTACATTGGTTGTGAAGCACGTGGGGGAAACCTGAAGTTGTGAAAGAAGCTATTAATACAAATTTAACTCTTTCTTACAAATCATTGTGGACATGAGGGAGAAGGGTGGCAGGCAGGGAAAGGTAAAGGAATTGGCAGGAACACAATGCAGGAAAATTAGAAAATCAGGGCCGAAAGATCTTGGAAACATGTTGCCCTGCAACAGGATCAATGCTACTCAGAAAAGCAACAAACCCCACCATCATTACATACCTGCCTTCACCTCCACGTACTTTCTTTCATTTTCCTGCACCAATTTCAACAACCTAAAAGCTCACTTAAATATTTTACTGTATTCAAGAATCAGAAGAGCATTCTATATGACAAATTTGCTGATATTTGCTTCATATTAAGCACTTGTTTAAAAGTCAACAGTTGAAGTTCTTTGAAAAGTATGCACAGCATCAAGAAATACAATGCTCAAAAAAATTCAGGATTTTTGTTTAAATTATATTTACAAAATGTAAGGCTAAAAGTTACTCAAACATATGCCCCATAAATCCATCATTTTAAACTAATAACCTTCGAATCTTTTCAGAGGTGATGACTGTTTTACTATGACATTGGATGGGGCCCACTTTCAAAAATTGCAATGGAAACCAATCTACACAACAAAGCTTTCATGGCCCAGGGAGGTTACGATTAACTGTTTAGACCGCGATGAAAAAAAACTTTTTCCTTTTGTAAACTTTCAATTTTAAAGAGATGGCCTTGGTCTGTACTTTAAAAACTGATTACTCCTCATTCATTATGTTTTGTCAATGATGCGCTAACTTTCAACTATTTCATACATATACATAATAAAGCCTTTCAAAATTTTCGCAGGAATGTTGTCAATTTTTTTTTAAAAAATGAGTGCCACCTTAGGAGATAATTGGAATGGAAACTGTCGACTCCATCCAAACTTACCATAATCTTAGAGACCTGGTGAGAGAAGAGAAATGCAGCCTGTAGATCGTTTTCTGTTTATTACACCCTTGCAGTTCAGGTATCAACCTTGGTCAAAATGGGAAGTTTTAAGAAGAATCTTAAAAAAACAGGGAAAGGTGGCAAGTTTTAAAGGGAGAAACTTCAGACCTTAGCAGCAAGACACGTGAAGAAGACACGGCCAGCAGTTGGGGATCTAAGGAAGCCATGGATGTGCAAGAGGCCAGAATTGGGGAATAAAATAATTCAGGGAACAGGCAAATTAGTAGAATTTAAATGGTATGAGAAAAGCGAACCATTTGCATGCTGGTGCAACAAGGGCCAAGGGAGAACGGTTGTTTTCTATATAAATAAAAATGTTTTGCGAAAACATCTTTCTCACCTACTTACTAAACCTGTGGAACCTCTCAGCCTGCAAGCACCACAAAGTACAACTTGCAAAAGATCCAAAAGTGTATCTTAATTTCTTTTGCAGATATACCGAGTGTAATCTGATATACAGCAGCTTTTCTCAGCCCTCAAATTCCTATCACCAGATCAGTTCACCTGAACTAGAATGGTGTAATATCACCTCAGTAAATGGAATGCTCACTATCACACAGCACTTACCATTAATGGCTGCCTCAGGCACCTTAGCAAAGGAAGCCTGTCCCATTCTAAACTTTCTTCATCTGTTATTTATCTTAATAATCGTGTAGTCTCAGGATCACAGTCAACGTAGAAAATTAAGAGCCGCATGACAGATACAGTCCCGGCAAAGTGTCACACTTCACAGCTTGACTCATTCTAAATCCTCGAGGGCTGCCCTGCCTTCATAAATAAGGTAATCTTACTACTTCCCTTCTCAGATGAATGCCCATCATTCCTCAATGCAGATTACTTGAAGTCAGAGGTTAAAGGGGGAGGGGATTAAATCCAGAAGTAGTGTGCTGATGCTGCTGCTAACACTGTGGCTGTGGGTCTGCTTGTGATTGTGCAAGAATCCATGGGTGTGTGTATCTGTGTTCCTATCCACCACTGAACTCTTATGTAAACATTCCATTGTACCCAGAGCCTGCAACAAACGCACCAAACACCAACTTCTTCAGTGCCCTGATCCGAAAGAGTAATTTTGTACCTGTCGTTAATGACTTTCATTATTTTTATATTTGTCCCCACCCTGAAACACTCGGGGTGGGGGTGGGGGCAGATTTGACGCTGGAGGCAGTGTCGGGGCACAGTGAAGTTAACACATTTATAAAGATTCCTGTATATTCATGCCCTGATTTAAAACAAAGATCACCTTTGCATACAGTGTGTGGTCATCACAGACTAAACTTCTGAAGTTTTTTTATGAAAGCAAACAGGAATTAGAAAAAAGGGATGAATGTATAATTCAGGGATTTTTTTTGATGGCATTCACTTCAGGAAGATTTTGAAAGGTGAGAGGGGTACAGGAAGACAAAAGGATTTAAAAAAAAAACATTAACTGCATTCTTAAAGGCTGACAGGCTGATATATTACTGAGAGACTGCCATATTGTGTCAAGTGCCCGCTTTCAGATGTGGCATTAAAACAAAGTTCCTGGTATCAGTTCTGGGTGGATGAAAGGTATCCCATTTCATTATTTTGAAAAGCAAACCCAACATTTATATAGCACCTTTTAAAAAAGGGGATGAAGAAAGAAAAACTGACTCTTAGGCACATGATCACAAAAGATTCAGGTATAGGAGTAGAAATACACAGAATAAACAGCAGAGAATTGGAGGGAGGGGCTTAAAGGGGCACTCGTAAGAGCAGAGACATTCATCCCATCAAAATATGCAAGGTTCTTTAAACTGCTAATTTTCTGAACTATAGCTGGGCCAGGTTGTTGGGTTTCCTAGACTGATTCAACATAGTACAACCATGCAGCAACTGCAAGGAACCTTGGGGGGAGAGGAGGCAGCAATGGGAGATGGAGGAACAGAACACAACAACTTTGAAATAGCTACAGTGCCAACAAATTATGTATGCCACACTCCACCATGCCCACCCTTCATAATGGGACAATACTGTTAAAAGAAAATGTGTCAATCTACACCATTCCAAAAAAAAAAACCCAAGTCTGGGCATAATATGGAAAGCCCTGAGCTCACTCTCCTGGTTACACGTTGCCTGGAACAGTTCCACGCATCAGCAAGGCAAAACCAGATACAGTAATAGGATAAGCAGTCAATCAATATCACAGAGAATTATTTTCTTCCTGTCTTCATTGAAACAGGCAAAGAGCATGTGCGCCTAGTAACAGGAATAGAACAAGCACCTGCCTAGTAATGAGGGGCATAACATGTGCTTCCATCCAAATGTAGGCGGATAAACACCTGTACTAGTGTTCACTGGACTGACACTGGAAACTTGCTGATTTACCACTACCTCCACAACCAGGCAAAGCTGCTCAAAACTGGAATCAACCAACTGCTACCCGCAGGTAATAGAAGTCAATGATAGACCTGGAAGCTTCCTGGGTGGCAAAACCTATGTCCTTCAGCTTGAGGTGGGGAGGGGGTGGGGGGCCACCCAGGGAGTTCAGTGAGGCAGAATGCACAATATTGAGGAAGTAGAGCAGGGCAAAGAGGGGTAGGGTCGAGGGAGCAAAGTAGAACAGAGGCAAGGAGCTGCTGAAGGGCAAAGACGGATAATATGGAGTTATCACGGGGCAGAGCAACATAACTGATGGAGTACTGTGACAGAGGGACAGCGCTGACGATATACTGAGTGTGTGCTGCATAGCAGAGGTACAAATCTTTTCAGATTTCAAACAGTGGCACTTCCTGACCTGTTCAGTTTCACACTAATAAAAATAAGTCTCAAGATTGCTATTGCACAAGAACTGGGAAGTTCCTTCAGGCTCCATGCCAACATATCTCTGTCAGTAAAAACCAAAAACAGATTTTAATCACCAATCATGTTCGTGGGACTTTGCTGGGCATATAATGACCTCTGAAATCAACAACAAATCAAGGATGTCCATAGTTCAAACATAATCCAGTGTTTCCAAGTCGCTACATAAAATGAGGATATAAAACTTTGTATGTAAATGGAAATTCCTTCATCCTGTTGTTTAGGTCTACAGTGTACAGTCCATCAGTGGTAGAGCCTGACAAGCAAGTTCTTTTTAAAATGTCAGCTTTCAGTTTGGCACTCACTGCTAGCAATGAAAAAGCTATAGAGTTGTGCTAACCTGTGCTTCACCGAGCTGCTCATTAAGTAATGGAGTTTGTCTTTGTGTTGTTATGTATTACTTAGGATGTGGGCATCAGTGGCAAAGCCATTCTTTGTTGTCCATTCTGAATTGCCCTTAAACTGAGTGGCTTCCTAGGCTATTTCAGAACGCAGCCCAAGTATTAACCACATCATTGTGGGTCTGAACCTGCGTTAACAATGGCAGATTTCCTCTCCTAATGGACATTAATGAATCAGATGGTTTATTTTAAAACAACAATCGATCATTGCTGCGGCCAATATCAGCATTATACGCCGGAGTGTGCCGACCTCTGCCGGCTGATCTCCACCAGTTCCTAAACTGGAAAGGGGCAACAAACAAAGATTACCACCACTGGGTGGGTTTCCATGACCCCGCAGACAGGTGACGGCCCTTTCAGGAACACAGGGTCCTTTGCTTTTCAGCTATGATAAACTGTTTTTATACATCTCACCCTGCATGCTGCTGGTACCCAAGTTATAGCCAAGAGGCAACAGGCAAATGTAACTATCCTGGATTGAGATACATTATCATTCATTACCAACACCAGTTGTGTATAAGTATAATTACATTACACTACAGTTCAGAAACAGGCCATTCAACCCATTATGCTTCTGCTGTGTAAGATGGACAACAAATCCAACTTTTTGCTCTTTTCCCCAGAACTCTGCAAAGTACACTAACTTGCACTTTTAAAAGCACATTAACTAAATTCGATACCTAGCCATATAAGGAAATATTAGGGGACACTAGGAGAGGGGACCAAAGGTTTGTCAAACTTAACACTTCTACCAGTGTATCTGAAAGGAGGAGACCAACTCCAAAAGGATAGGTGGTTTTGGAAAGATATTCAGAACTTAGGGCCATGGGAAAACTAAGGTATGGCCATCAATAGTGATTAAAGTCAGAGATGTGCAAACAGCTGGAATTGAAATGACAGAGATCTGGGAGAGTTGTAGGGCTGGAAGTTGTTCCAGGGATAGGCAGGCAGGGAGACCATGGAGTCAGCTGAGAACAAGAAAATGTTGAAGTTAAGGTGGTTCTAGCATGTAGGCAATATAGGTGAACAAGGGTGTGGTGTGAAATGGAGCAATGGAAGAGCACAAGCTGAAGAAGGGTGGAAGAGGAAAGGTCGAGTGCAATGGAGCACTTAAACTCAAAAGGCAATCAAATCATGGATAGGACCTTCAACACACCAACTGAGGAAATTGTGGGCTATGTGGCAGGTGGAGGAGTGATGTGAGAGAGTTTACTAACTGGGAGAAGTTTGAAGATCAGAAAGAATACAAAACTTTAAAATATAGAGGCTGTATTGAACTTTGAATCTGAATAACTAGCTGTCCCCTCAAACCACAGTATTTTTTAAAAAGTAACTTTAAAAAAAAGTAGCTTGGAAATCAACTTCTCCAAATAAATTTACACCTAAACGAGTCTTGATGCTGGAACAGAAGTTGAGTATGGGAAGGGGAAAGGGATGAAGGTGTACAGTGAGAATGAATACACAGCTACTAAACTTAAGAACAGACCTGATTTAATATACACTTGATCTGATCTCTCATATTTGCTGCCAGCCCAGATATCAGACACAGACTATAAAGACACAGCAATGCCTCTCGTTCTTTATCTTTAAAGAACTTCCAAACCCACAACCTCAACTAGGCAGAAGAACAGGGCAGAAAACACATGGAAACACCACCAACTGTAAGTTTCCTTCCAAGACACACACCATCCTGTCACTGGGTCAAGAACCTGGAACACTCTCCCTAACAGTGCGAGCTGTACTGCAGCATTTCAAAAAGTATAGTTCACTATGACCTTCCAAACCAAAAGCAATTGGGTAGCACAACAGACACTGACTTTGCCAGAAACCCGTATGATTTCTTGAACAAATAAAGAAAAATCAAATTTATGCCCATTTACCATACACTATAATGATGAACGAGCCCTACAGGATTGTTAACCTCGGAGCATGCCCGAGTCACCTCACTTTCCGCTTGGGGACCCTGCAGCCTTCTGGACTCAATATCGAGTTCAATAACTTTAGGGCTTGAGTTCACCCTTGTTCTTACCCCCAAGCCCCCCACACACTAGGCCTTATCGTCACATAGTCTGCTATTAAACACAACCCATTGTTAGCCATGAACACTCCCCATTAATAGCTATTCCCTCTCCTAGCCAGATCATTATCCACTCCTTTGTCTATCTAACTGTTCTCCTCTCTCTTTGAGCTCTATCTCCACCTATCGTTTACCCCTGACCCCCTCACCCCACCCTATCTTCTGCCGATAAACTGACATTTTCCTAGCTACCAGCGCTTAGGAAGGGTCACTTGACCCAAAACGTAAATTGATTTCTCTCCACAGATGCTGCCAGACCTGCTGAGCTTTTTCAGCAATTTCTGTTTTTGTTTCTGCTTTACAGCATCCACATTTCTCTCAGTTTTATTTAGCACATCTAATCATTCAGCCTCTCAAGCCTGCTTTGCCATTCTAGATCATGGCTGATAATCTACCATGGTATTGTTTTCCCATG